AGAAATACTTTCACAAGTGTAAATTTAGGGGTTAGAGTTTAGGACAGACACCTCCCAATAGAAAGCACCCTGTTAGCTTATTGCTATCTCTATTAAGGCCATGGGTTTAAATAGATCAGAACGTAATCCTTGTAAATATCCAAGATTTGATACTAATTGTGTTTAAATAGTTTTTACTTTGGGACTGCAGTTCTGTATAATGGTGGAAATATTTTCATTGTTTAAATCTTTATTTTACTGTAATATTTAGAGTATATTTAATAATATTTAGACAGTTTCCATCTGAGCCAAAAGGGGGCGACAAATCCTGAAAGCCTTTTCAAATCTGACTTTTACAGACAAAAACAACAACAACAGAAAAACAAAAGGCAGGTTTTGAAGATGTACGTGTTAACAGTAATGCTGTCTATCTCCTCATGATCGATTGGCACCTGTTAGCTCCTCTTAATGCTCAGAGCTGCAGCAGATCCTCAAACTTCCCTCACTGAGTTTCAGCTGTGAGTCTGTGTTCAGCTCTATTCGGCAGAACAGGCTGTAACTCAGCATCTGTGTCTCTGAATCTCACTGACCAACAGAAAAATGAGGACTTAATCTTTCTTCTCGATGGATCTATTTACTCTCCCTCTTCATCTGTGTTTAATGAAAAGTGAATTAATTAAAGTAAACTCTCAGATTTTCCACTATTTCCCATCATCAACATTCCATATAAACTCAGAAGACTCGTGTAGGTTCACTGGTGGTTTCTGGATGGTAAATAAAATGTCTATATTTGTGTTGTAGTCATGGCGACCCCTGGTTCCTATCACCACCACTGTAAAGACATCTGAACCATTTCACAGCAAACCTCAGTTTAGCTCCATCCATTCAGTCTACAGCAGTTTAGCCCCACCATTCAGACTACAGCAGTTTAGCCCCACCCATTCAGTCTACAGCAGTTTAGCCCCACCATTCAGCTACAGCAGTTTAGGTCCACCCATTCAGTCTACAGCAGTTTAGCTCCACCCGTTCAGCTACAGCAGTTTAGCTCCACCATTCAGCTACAGCAGTTTAGCTCCACCATTCAGTCTACAGCAGTTTAGCCCCACCATTCAGCCTACAGTAATTTAGTCCCGCCCATTCAGCCTACAGCAGTTTAGCCCCACCATTCAGTCTACAGCAGTTTAGCCCCACCATTCAGTCTACAGCAGTTTAGCCCCACCATTCAGTCTACAGCAGTTTAGCTCCACCATTCAGCTACAGCAGTTTAGCCCCACCATTCAGTCTACAGCAGTTTAGTTCTACCCATTCAGTCTACAGCAGTTTCGTTCTACCCATTCAGTCTACAGCAGTTTAGTTCTACCCATTCAGTCTACAGCCGTTTAGTTCTACCCATTCAGTCTACAGCCGTTTAGTTCTACCCATTCAGCCTACAGCAGTTTAGTTCTACCCATACACATTAATGCTCTGAGTGTTTCAGCCCTAAATGCTTACTGAATGAGGCACAGTGGAAAAAAAATAAAATACAAGAAAAAAATGTAGGACATGGGCCCTTTAAGCCTGGTTTAATGCAAATGAGTTCTGTTCAATTGGCTGTGCCTACTTCAAAAAGCAATCCAGGCCTAAACACTCCTTAACTTCTGCATAGATGGGCGGAGCTAAACTGCCATAGGCGGAATAGGTAGATTTGTGTAAATGCATTAGTCTTTGTGACATCACAAAACCAATACATTTTTAAATGAGTTTTTAGTGATATGGGCTCTTTAATGCAATCATGAGGCAAGAAGCCTGCATATGAATGTTATTATTATTATTTATTATTATTATTATTATTATTATTATTCCATAAGCAATATTAATATTAGTTATTAGAGGAGCTGAAGCGAGTCTACATCCGGGTTTCAGCAGTAATTTTTAGCGCCCTTTTCTTTCATAATAATTATATAATTAGTGACCTGCGCTCGTGACACAGGTGTAATGCCCACGCAGTTTCCATCAGGCGCGCGTGTATATGCGTGTGTGTGTGTAAGTGTGCGCGCGGGGTGTTGCTGATTGACTGGCTCGCGCACAAAAGCTGATGGGAAACGCGCCATATGGAGACACTTGTGCGCGAACGGAGAGGAAGAATGAGGAATTCTTTGTGCGCGCGCGTGTGTGTTTGGGGAGGGGCGCAAGGATCGCTTGTTGCCGGCGCTAAAAGAAGCTCGAGAGCTGAACTGGGGAATTGAATGTGAACTGTTCAGCGCTGTTGATTATTGTTCCGAATAGAGGCGCGTGCACGTTTAATTAAAAAAAGGAAACTATTGAATTTTGAAAAAATAAAAAGTTTTTACTTTTTACCCGTTTTTTCATAATTTAAAGGGCAATTCCACCCATTTTCAAAATTCCTCTATAATTCTGTGGTCTTCCTTTCTTTACAGTGGTGGTGATAGGAACCAGGGGTCGCCATGACTACAACACAATTACAGACATTTTATTTGCTATCCAGAACCACCAGTGAACCTACACGAGTCTTCTGAGTTTATATGGGATGTTGATGATGGAAAATAGTGGAAAATCTGAAATAATAAGTTTTCTTTGGGGACTATTTTGCCTCACAGTGCCCTGCATGTATCCCTCCACCATGAATGGAGTTTAAGTTCTCAAAACTATCATAAAACAGTGTCTCAGTCATCAGGCAGTGAATTCATAACCATTCCATGTAGTAACTTTCTGTGAGGGAGCATTTAGAGGTGGACGTCTGGTTCCTATCACTACCACTGTGAACAGTTCTGACTGGGTAAGTTTCTCTAGAACAGAGCGTTTCACACCAAACCACTCTGAACCACTCTGAACCGCTCTGTTTACATCTTAACCACGTAATTACGCCGAGAATAACAGTAGAATAAATGTAAAAAAAACTTAACTAGCTTAAAATATTATTTATTTATTATCCCGTATATTTATTTATTTGTTTATCTATTGGTTTGTTTACTTATTTACTTATTTATGTGTTTACGGGTGTGTATGAGACTGTAAATATGAAGGGCTGAGTTTTTTCTGCAGCCTCTTAGTTTTTATAACACAGTATTTGTCCTTGAATTAAAGCCAGAGGTGGGAGCTCTCTGAGTTCCTTTCTTTGGGGGGTTTATTTTAAAATCTCTTAACAGCTCGCGCCAGTGACGCTCACAATAGATTCTGCTCTTGATTCTGCTCTTGCTCATTCTCGTCCTGCTTCTGCTTCTGGGTCTGCTCTTGGTTCTGGTTCTGCTCTTGTTTTGGCTTTTGGTTCTGCACCTGGTTCCGGATCTGCTCCTGGTTCTGCTCCTACTCCTAGTTCTATTCCTATGTAAACAGCTGTTCTTTAAATGTTCTTTAAATAAAACAAACAACGTGGACCGATCCATGAACCAATCTTGCGTTCAGAAGGTTCTTTGTCACGGTTCTATATAAAAGAACCACCTTACAAAGGAGCCACTTTTTACTGGAGTAGCATAAGAAGGTTCTCTGACCTGTAACAACGTTTTTGGTGCTATAGAAGCATTATAGAGAGAACCATTAATACATTTATATAAAGAACCCTTAAGAACCCCACACACTATATATCTAAGGCTATTGTAATATATATATATATATATATATATATATATATATATATATATATATATATATATGTATCTTAGGCTATTGTAATGTTCATATACATATATTACTAGTACAAAAATGCTGCATTACATTTCTTTTCACTGACATTAATATTAATCATAAAATAATAATAAATAATAATAATAATAATAATAATAATAAAGTTATTGCTGTTATATGTTGTGTAATGTCTGCGTGCGTAATGTAATTACAGCAATAATAATAATACAGATTGCAGGCCTCCTCGCGCTGCCGAGTGTAATTAGTGAGGGGTTAATGTGGCCCCTCCCACCCCTCTCTACCTGTCGCACGCGCACACACTCTGTTACTGTGTGTGTGTCTACGTATGTGTGTGCGCGCGCGTTCATATGAAGGGATGTCGCGCTCGGGGTGTACAGCGCGCGCGGATGAGGCCAAAGCGCCACGAGCGAGAAGTGAAGCAGTTAGTCTCGCGCCTGTAGCTGCTGAGACCTGCCGCACGTGAGTCAGCTCGAGCAGCAGCACGGCCTGGAGGAGCGCGTGTCCTCCACCGCGGGGGGCCGAGAGGAGCACCGGACAGCACACAGGTAGGACAACACCTGGACAAACAAACACCTAAACAAACAAACAAACAAACTACCGAGCTGACTCTCCCAGCCGCCTTCATCAGAGCAGCGCAGCAAACAGAACCACAGAACCGCACAGCTTCATAGCGCTCGGGCTTTCAGATCTGTGTGTTCTTTTATTATTATTATTATTATTATTATCATTATTATTACGCTAAGACTCAGTGTATATATATATATATATATATATATATATATATATATATATAGAGAGAGAGAGAGAGAGAGAGAGAGAGAGAGAAAGAGAGAGATACATAATAATAATGCTGTTTTGAGTAATAATAATAATAACGCATATATAACACGTTTTCGTGAAAAAACAATAAATTAAATGCATCTGATTAAATTCGTAGAATTCTTAAATTTTATTATTAGTAATGCATTAATGTTGTTTTAAATATTAGATGGAAAAATAAGCGTCTTCAGATGATTTATTATGTACACAATAGTAACAGACTGCAGAAGAAGCCTTTGTTTTCTTGTTGATTATTGAAGAATGAAAGTGCTAAAATGAGGATCAAAAGGAGCCGCTCACGAGACTTTCATTACATTATTATAGCTAGTAATACAGATTATATATATATATATATATAGGTTAAATTTCACTTATGAAAATATAGCACTAATATTCTAATATTAACATTCATTAACACTAATACTAATATTAATATAAACACTAAGACTAACACTATTAACACACTCTGAGTTCTACACACAACACAAATGTTACTACACTGTGTTGGGTTAGCAGCGATGATTGATGTGCCGCTGTGTGTGTGTGTGTGTGTGTGCGTGGAGGATGGAGTACGGTTATGATGCCGATCTAGAGGAGCTGTGTCCGGTCTGTGGAGATAAAGTGTCCGGATATCACTACGGCCTGCTCACCTGCGAGAGCTGCAAGGTACAGTAACTACACCTCTCTCTCTGTCTCTCTCTCTCTGTCTGTCTCTCTCTGTCTCTCCCTCTCTTCTTCTCTCTCTCTCTCTATCTTTCTATCTCTCTCTCTCCCTCTCTCTGTCTCTTGCTCTCTATCTCTCTGTCTCTCCCTCTCTCTCTCTGTCTATCTCTCTCTCCCTCTCTCTCTGTCTCTCTCTCTGTAATGTCATATATTATTATAATGTTACAGTTACTATTGTGTATTTTTTCTGTATTCAGTACTGTGTACAAGAAAAATAATATGACAGAAATAAACATAATATTAATAACAAAGCTAATAGCGATAACTTGGGTTTTTAGTCAGCTCTCACTGACTTTTTACTGTGTATTATATTATATTATATTATATTATATTATATTATATTATATTATATTATATTATGCTGTGATGTGTTTGTCCGCAGGGCTTCTTTAAGCGGACGGTCCAGAACAATAAGCGCTACACGTGCGCGGAGAGTCAGGACTGTAAGATCGATAAGACTCAGCGGAAGCGCTGTCCGTTCTGCCGCTTCCAGAAGTGCCTGACCGTCGGCATGAGGCTGGAAGGTGAGCAGAGAGCCGAGCGCGCACTCCTCACTGACCGCACGAGCTGCTACATTAACAGACAGAACAATACAATAATACATCATAATACGTCATCATGTATATTAATGTGTAATAATGTAATCGGTGCAGCTAAACCGCCGCCGAGCCGTGTTTAATAATGAATCGGTACGTTAGTGTTTGTGTCGTCATCACTGCAGGTTCCACTGTAGGGTCTTTATTTAGGGAACATTACTGTAAAGGTTCTGTATTTCAGGCTGTGTTTGATCCACACGGTCAGTCTTTACTGTAAACTGTATATTATTATTATATTGTTCAGGTATTAAAATGTATAAATAAACTGAGGAACAGTTACAGTGTTTATAACTGGATCAATAAAACTAGCTGTTCATCTGACAGTGCACACATTAATGACGTAATATCTTTATTATTAATGGTTTTAGCTGTAACACTCTATATTATTATTATTATTATTATCATTGTTACTACTAATAATAATAGCAATAATAAAAACAATAATAATATCTGTAATGAATTATTTATTTTATTATTAATTTATAACGACAAAAGTAACATAATAATAATAATAATAATAATAATAATAATAATAATAATATACCCTCAGCCCTGACAGCAGATTTTTCTTTTGTATTGTTTATGTGTTGATATGATAACAGACATATTTTCTTTGCTGTTAATGCCCACTAAAGCTTTGTTGTCGCACTGTGTGAAAATCTGCGTTCCCTTTATATTCCTGATGAAGTCCTGTGTCCGCGCGCTGCAATGATTTAGGTCAGAAATGATCACCGCTGCTTTACAAGGTCGTTATTATCGCGAGACCCTCTGCGGTTCTGATCAAGGATAAGCAAAGCAGCCGGAGTTATTTAGCCAAAGCCTGAGTTAATGGACGCAGCGCCTCTATGGAGCCTGCATTCAAAACAGCAGCAATGTTCATATTCATATTCATATTCATTTAGAATTTAGAATTTAGACCTCGATTTAGAAATTACATTAATCAACCAACTTCAAAAAGTCTCTGAATTTTAAAATGCTCTGAATGTGAAAGCCTCTTAAAATTTATGCTCAAAATTCACAAGGAGACAAATATAAGATTTTTGGAATTTATGGAAGGTTTTGGGATCTGTGAGTGTTTTGGAAATGTTTGAGAGTTTTAGGGGATGAACCTTTGGTGTAAGATGTTTTAGAATGTCAGTGAGGTCTGGGTAATGTAGGAGAGGTTTTGGAAATATAGATTTGAGAATGTGCATTCGGTTTTGGGAATGTGTGAGGTATTTTGGAATGTGTATTTTTGGAATGTGTGTTGGAATGTGTGAGAAGGTTCGGGAATGTATGAAAGGTTTTTGGAATCTGTACTGTTTTTTAATTTTTTTTTGGAAAGTCAGTGAATTTTGGGAACGTGTCAGAGGTTTTTGGAATGCATAATGAGTTTTCTGGAATGTGTAAGAATGTATAATGAGTAAGAATCTGTGAGATATTATTGGGAATGTCAGCAAGGTTTTTGGAATGTATGATTTTATTTTTGAGAAGTTTTGGGAAGGTGTGAGAGGCTTGGGGGATCTGTGAAATGGTTATCAGCAATGTCAGTGAGGTTTTGGGAATGTATGACAGGTTCTGGTGATCTGGGAGATGTTTTTTGGACTGCCTGAGAGGTTTTGGGGATATATGCGATGTTTCTGGAATGTGAGCAAGGTTTTGGGAATGTGTGTAATTTGGGCAATGTATGAGGTTTTTGGATGTAACATTTGTTTTGGGAATGTGTAAACGAACGGTGAATATTTGAAAAGATTTGGGAATCTGGGAGATGTTTAAAGAATGTCAGCAAGGTCTGGGAATGTATGAGAGGTCTTCGAAATATATGTAAGGGTTTTAGAATGTGTAATCAGTTCCGGGAATGTGTCAGAGATTTTTGGAATGTGTATGTAGTTTTGGGAATGTGTGAGAGGGTTTGGAATTTGGAAGTGTTTGGAATGTGTTTTAGAATTTGAGAATGTATGCAAAATTTTTAGGAGGTTTTGGGAATTTTCAGCAGTGTTTGTTCCCATTTGTTCCCAGCGGTTCGCGCAGACCGGATGCGAGGTGGCAGGAACAAGTTTGGACCTATGTACAAGCGAGACCGTGCCCTGAAGCAACAGAAGAAAGCTCTAATACGGGCGAGTGGGCTTAAGATGGAGACCACACCCCCCCTCCAGTCACCCATCCAGACAGACTACAGCTTTGGCAGCATGCTGCCGAGCCTCCCGCCCGTCTCCACCCCTAAACACGCCCTCTCAACCATGCCCTCCTCCACCGCCGCAGCTGCAGACTACAGTCTGTACACGACCGGCTGCATGCCTGTACCTGCTCACGGCCCTCTGTCGCCGCAGTACCCTTACGCATCCTTCCCCAGTCGCGCCATCAAATCCGAGCTCCCAGATCACTATGCCAATGCCAGCTCGCCCGACTCCGCCCTGGGATTCACATACAGTGAGCACACACAGGCCGGTAGCCCATCAGCACCCCCTGCAGGCCTGCCGGTGCCGACACTAGTGCTGGAGTTTGTGCGCTGTGAACAGGATGAGCTGCAGGTGCGCAGCAAGATCAGCGCTCACCTGGCGCACCTGCAGCAGGAGCAGAACTCCCGCAGCGGCAAAGCCGAACCGCTCTCCACCTTCGGCCTGATGTGCCACGTCGCAGACCAGACACTGTTCTCTATCGTGGAGTGGGCGCGCAGCTGCACCTTCTTCAAAGAGCTCAAGGTGAGTGAGGAAGCGCACCGCAGGGAAGAGCGTGTTAGAGAAACGTGTCTGAAAAGTGAGTGAAGAGTGGAGCTCAGAGCTGAAATACAGAGGATCAGTCAGGAAATCATTTATTAAACACTAACACCACTCAAACATGCTCCAACACTAACGACCCAGCAAAGACACCAACACTGACCACTGAACATCACCCTCATCAGTAACACTGCCTCAACACTGACCACAACACTGACACCACTCAAATATGCTCCAACACTAACAACCCAGCAAAGACACCAACACTGACCACTCAACATCACCCCATCAGCAACACTGCCTCAACACTGACACCACTCAAATATGCTCCAACACTAACAACCCAGCACTGACACCAACACTGACCACTGAACATCACCCCATCACTAACACTGCCTCAACACTGACCACAACACTAACACCACTCAAACATGCTCCAACACTAACAACCCAGCAAAGACACCAACACTGATCACTGAACATCACCCCATCACTAACACTGCCTCAACACTGACCACAACACTGACACCACTCAAATATGCTCCAACACTAACGACCCAGCACTGACACCAACACTGACCACTGAACATCACCCCATCACTAACACTGCCTCAACACTGACCACAACACTGACACCACTCAAATATGCTCCAACACTAACAACCCAGCACTGACACCAACACTGACCACTCAACATCACCCCATCAGTAACACTGCCTCAACACTGACACCACTCAAATATGCTCCAACACTAACAACCCAGCACTGACACCAACACTGACCACTGAACATCACCCCATCACTAACACTGCCTCAACACTGACCACAACACTAACACCACTCAAATATGCTCCAACACTAACAACCCAGCAAAGACACCAACACTGATCACTGAACATCACCCCATCAGTAACACTGCCTCAACACTGACCACAACACTGACACCACTCAAATATGCTCCAACACTAACAACCCAGCAAAGACACCAACACTGACCACTGAACATCACCCCATCAGTAACACTGCCTCAACACTGACCACAACACTAACACCACTCAAACATGCTCCAACACTAACAACCCAGCAAAGACACCAACACTGACCACTGAACATCACCCCATCAGTAACACTGCCTCAACACTGACCACAACACTAACACCACTCAAACATGCTCCAACACTAACGACCCAGCACTGACACCAACACTGACCACTGAACATCACCCCATCAGTAACACTGCCTCAACACTGACCACAACACTGACACCACTCAAACATGCTCCAACACTAACAACCAAGCACTGACACCAACACTGACCACTGAACATCACCCCATCACTAACACTGCCTCAACACTGACCACAACACTAACACCACTCAAATATGCTCCAACACTAACGACCCAGCAAAGACACCAACACTGACCACTGAACATCATCCCATCAGTAACACTGCCTCAACACTGACCACAACACTAACACCACTCAAACATGCTCCAACACTAACAACCCAGCAAAGACACCAACACTGACCACTGAACATCACTCCATCACTAACACTGCCTCAACACTGACCACAACACTAACACCACTCAAACATGCTCCAACACTAATAACCCAGCAAAGACACCAACACTGACCACTGAACATCACCCCATCAGTAACACTGCCTCAACACTGACCACAACACTAACACCACTCAAACATGCTCCAACACTAACAACCCAGCAAAGACACCAACACTGACCACTGAACATCACCCCATCAGTAACACTGCCTCAACATTGACCACAACACTAACACCACTCAAACATGCTCCAACACTAACAACCCAGCACTGACACCAACACTGACCACTCAACATCACCCCATCACTAACACTGCCTCAACACTGACCACAACACTAACACCACTCAAACATGCTCCAACACTAACGACCCAGCACTGACACCAACACTGACCACTGAACATCACTCCATCACTAACACTGCCTCAACACTGACCACAACACTAACACCACTCAAACATGCTCCAACACTAACAACCCAGCACTGACACCAACACTGACCACTGAACATCACCCCATCACTAACACTGCCTCAACACTGACTACAACACTGACACCACTCAAATATGCTCCAACCCTAACAACCCAGCAAAGACACCGACACTGACCACTGAACATCACCCCATCACTAACACTGCCTCAACACTGACCACAACACTAACACCACTCAAATATGCTCCAACACTAACAACCCAGCACTGACACCAACACTGACCACTGAACATCACCCCATCACTAACACTGCCTCCACACTGACCACAACACAGCACTAACACCATGCCATCACCAGCACTGCCTCAACACTGACCACAACACTAACACCACTCAAACATGCTTCAACACTGACACTGACCCAGCACTGACACCAACACTGACCACTGTGCCATCACTAACACTGGCCTAACACTGCCCCAAAAACTCAACCAAGCCCTAGCAAAACCTCAACACTAACACTGACCCAACACTGACCCTAACTCTAACATAACCCCGGTACTTAACACTAACATCATACCAAAACTGACTCCAACTCTGTGTGTGGCAGTGGCAGTGAGTGGCAGGAACATGTAATGTGATAAATCATCTCTCTCTCTCTCTCTCTCTCTGTCTGTCTCTCTCTCTCTCTCTCTCTCTCTCTCTCTCTCTCTCTATGTAGTGCTTTTCTGGTGGTCTGTATACAGAATACAGTACTTAATATGACATTGTGGTGCACAGTAGTAACAAGTAGCTGATTGGATGTTGGCCCATTCACCATCTTTATTTTCTTTACCATTATTTATTTTTTTCTTGCTGTTTTTCTTGTTGTTTTCATTGTGTCATTGGGTTCCTTCTTAAATAGTTCATACTTTGTACTGTTAAGCTGGTGCATTTTTCCATTCTAATGTTTTTACAAACCTCAGAATTGCTAAATATTGTGATCTATTTTGTATAACTTTACAGTTACAAATGCAGTGTTATGCACATTTTGTATTTGATGCCAGCAACACATTTCAAAAAAGTTGAGATGGGGGCAACAAAAGACTGGTTGTGTAATATTAAAAAAACACCAGATGGAACATCTTACAACTAATCAGGTTAATTGGCAACAGGTCAGTAACATGACTGAGTATTTAAAGAGCATCTCAGAGAGGCTCAAATAGTGCAACAATGCTTGTCAGTATTTCTCAATGTAAAACAACAAAGAACTTGAGGATTTCATCATCTACAGTACATAATATCATTAAAAGATTCAGAGAATCTGGACAAATCTCTGTATGCAAGGGTGAAGGCCAAAAACCAGTATTTGCTGGCTGTGATCTTTGGGCTCTCAGGTAGCACTGCATTAAAAACAGACATGATTTTGTAGAGGAAATCACTGCATGGGCTCAGGAACACTTCTGGAAACCACTGTGTGTGAAAACAGTTGATCACTGCATCCACAAATGCAAGTTAAAACTCTAAAACACAAAAAAGAAATCATATATAAACAAGATCCAGAAATGCTGCCACCTTCTCTGGGCCTGAGCTCATTTAAAATGGACTGGAGTGGAAGTGGAATTGTGTCCTGTGGTCCGATAAATCAAAAATAGAGATTATTTTTGGAAATCATGGACACTGTGTCCCCCAGGATAAAGATCACTCAGTTTGTTATTCGTGCACAGTTCAAAAACCAGTATTCATGATGGTATAGGGGGGCATTAGTGTACATGGTCTAGGTGATGTGCACATCTGTGAAGGCACCATTAATGCTGAACAATATATATATGTTTTGGCAACGTATGCTGCCATCCAGACGACGTCTTTTTCAGGGAAGGTCTTGATTATTTCAGCAATACAATGCCAAACCACATTCTGCATGTATTACAACAGCATTGCTCTTTATTAAAAGAGTCCAGGCGCTAAACTGACCTGACTGAAGTCCAGATCTGTCACCCACTGAAAATATTCGCCACATTATGAAATGAAAAATACGACAAAGGAGTTAAGAATTGCTGAGCAGCTGAAATCCTATATCAAACAAGAGCAGGAAAACATTTCACTTTCAGAACTACAGCAGTGTCTCCTCCTCTAACAGAGTGTTGTTAAAAGAAGAGCTGATGCAGCAGTATCATTGCCTGTGAATTAAGCATTAAGGTTTGAGGAACTTCTAAGTATTTTTTTTTTTTATTGTTTTTTATTGTATTTGATTGTAGTTTAGATTTGGGACAGAATGCTGTGGTTTTGGAGGAAACAGCCTTTCAGCAGATCAGTCAATCCTCTCTGCTAGTTTCCAGACAAACAGTACTACATTAAAAACCTCCGCTCACATCTTTCTTATATACATCCCCATCATAGAGCATAACACTGAGAGTGCAGCTTATGTGCTATACATCAATAATTACATAGTTTTGTCATGAATTAGGGGAGAATGGAACACAATTTTTATGTTGAATAACTTAAAAAAATTTTAAGTTGGAATAATCATGTTCTTATACAAGCAACATAAACATCTCTGCTACAAACAAACACTTGAACTTTGTTTGTAGCTCCTACCATTCAGTACAAGTCCACCCAAAATGAGGGAAGTGCAGTGTTCCAGTTTAGCCCATGGGTGGGTTCACTGTAACAGACAGAAGGGTCAGTTTAACACCTGATCAATCAGTGCAAACAGACTTAATTCAGTATAATTCAAATATTTTTTTCCAACCGTACTGCATTATACATTATCATCTATAAGACAGACAGATCAACTGATACGCACACATCAAATCATATATGAACACTGACTAAGACTGTGTCAAACAATGACTTATTTATTTTAGTCCAGTAAATAAAAACTTTAGTAAAACATGAACATTGTTTCTGAATAGCTACAGCTTTACCAACTGATAATGTCAATTTCATTAAAATACGTCTTGAAAACCAAAATACTGACATCTGAAAGATCCTAATAAAGCAGAAGAA